TGCTCCCCCCACCACCCCCCTCACCACATTGAATGCCTTGATGTAGATTCAGCTTAGCTTAGTCCAGGAACCAAAGGGAGCTGAACTTGGTGGGCTTTTGTACCCCTGTCTCTGCCATGGGTCAGGCTTGGTACTTAAGTATTGTGGAATCAGTACCTGGAGCAAGCATTCTCTGGCACCCACTGTGGGCACCCAGGCTATCTGACTGAGCATGTGAGCCAGTTTGTGGTTGCCATGCCAATTCTCTATGGATACTGCAGCTTTCTTTGAAATTCCAACTCAGCTGGCTGGGGCCTGACTACTCTCCTCGTTCATTCAGACAGCCCCTTCATCCAGGAGCTGGCTTGGTCCCTTGCCCCCCACCCCTCCAGTTCTTGGCATCTCTGTGTTTGGACACCTCTAAAAGACAAGAAGTCCTTAAAAGCATCAGTGCCACGAGGGGCAGAGTGCAAGGCTCTCCTGTTACTAGGTCTTTTTTTTTATTTTTAAATTTTATTTATTTATTTGAAAGTCAGAGTTATACAGAGAGAAGAGAGGTACAGAGAGAGAGAGAGAGAGAGAGAGAGAGAAAGAGAGAGAGGTGTTCCATCCACTGGTTTACTCCCCAACTGGCCACAACAGCCAGAGCTGTGCTGATCCAAAGCCAGGAACCAGGAGCTTCTTCCAGGTTTCCCACGTGGGTGCAGGGGCCCAAGGACTTGGGCCATCTTCTACTGCTTTCCCAGGCCATAGTAGAGAGCTGGAGTGGAAGTGGAGCAGCCAGGTCTTGAACCAGTACCCATATGGGATGCGGGCACTTCAGGCCAGGGAGTTAACCCGCTGTGCCACAGCGCCGGCCCACTAGGTCTTTTCTGCCTCTAGATCAGACCCCATGAATATTGACCCTTAAATGGATCATGCTCAAGTTTGCAACATCTCATGGACTTTGCTGTTTGGATTGCTGTCTGCTGCCTAGGGGAGCTAACACTACTATTGCTGTGTGTGTGTGTGTGTGTGTGTTTTGATACCAGCTTCAGCTTAGCTGAACCAATCTCACTCCTTTCTGGCTCATCGAGAGTTCTAGCACACCTTAAGGTCATGGTTTCAGTGCTTATGAGATGACCTCGCCTTACTTTAGAGTTGATAACGAGTTTTTGAACACATCTTGTTTGGTTCTCACAAAATCTCCATGAAAGAGGTACAGAGGTTATTATTAACCCTATATTGCAGATGAGGAAACAGACCTGGAGAGCCAGGTGTGATAATTCTAATGACCCCTTCAGTACCCCAGTCACTGAGCACACTGGATGTCCACTATGTACCAGGCCTCACTAGTCTCAGTGTCTCCCCCTTACACCATTGTGCTAGAGCCACAATTAAAAAAAAGTAGGGGCCAGTAGGTTAAGCTTCCACCTGCACGGCCGGTATCCCATATGGGCACCGGTTCAAGTCCTGGCTGCTCCAATTCCTATCCAGCTCCCTGCTAATGGCCTGACAAAGTAGTGAAAGATGGCCCAAGTGCTTGGACCCGTGCACCCACGTGGGAGACCTGGAAGAAGCTCCTGGTTCCTGGTTTCTGTCTGGCCCAGCTCCAGCCATTGTGACCATTTGGGGAATTGGGGAATGAACCAGTAGATGGAAGACCTCTGTCTCTATCTCTCCCGCTCTCTCTCTGTAACTCTGCCTCTCAAATAAATAAATAAATCTTTAAAAAAAAGTCAAGGGCAGGTGTTCAGCCCACTGGTTAAGATGTCAGCATCCCCTTTTAGAGTATCTCAGTTTTTTTTTTTTTTCATTTTTTTTTATTTTTTTATTTTTTTTTTTTGACAGGCAGAGTGGACAGTGAGAGAGAGAGAGAGAGAGAGAGAGAGAAAGGTCTTCCTTTGCCGTTGGTTCACCCTCCAATGGCCGCTGCGGCCGGCGCAGTGCGGCCAGCGCACCGCGCTGATCTGAAGCCAGGAGCCAGGTGCTTCTCCTGGTCTCCCATGGGGTGCAGGGCCCAAGCACTTGGGCCATCCTCCACTGCACTCCCTGGCTACAGCAGAGAGCTGGCCTGGAAGGGGGGCAACCGGGACAGAATCCGGAGCCCCAACCGGGACTAGAACCCGGTGTGCCGGTGCCGCAGGCGGAGGATTAGCCTAGTGAGCCACGGCGCTGGTGAGTATCTCAGTTTAATATCCAGCTGCAGCTCCTGACTTCAGCTTGCTGCTAATGTAGACCCTGGAGGGCAGCAGTGATGGCTGAAGTAATGGAGCTCCTGCTGCCCACTTGGAAGACCTGAATTGAGCATCCTGCTCCCAGTTTCAGCTAGTTCAGGCCATTGTGGGTACCTGGAGAGTGAACCAGCAGAAGCCAGCTGTCTATTGTTTTATCTGTCTCTCAGAAAAGTAGTTTTTCAAAAAGTTATTCCTGACATCAGCCTGGCCTTCTCCCCATTTCCCTGGGACATGTGTCCTCCATCTCCCCTCAACGCTCCTTCAGCTTGCTCCTACCTGGTTCTCTGGCATAGCTCCTTCCTTAGGCTGGGACACATAGCCATTAACTCTTTTTTTTCCTTTTAATTAATTAATTAGAGAGGCAGAGAGAGAGAGAGAGAACCCATCTGCTGGTTTACTCCCCAAATGCCCACGTAATTGGCAAGTCCCGGGAGCTGGAAACTCATTCTAGATCTCTCATGTGAGTGGCAGGAACCCATTCCCTTGAGCCATCCTTGCTGCCTCCAGGACCCCACTAGCAGGAAGTTGTTGGAGTCAGGAGCCAGACCTGGGTATGGAACTCAGGCGCTCTGATATAGGACGTGGGTACCTCTTTTTTTTTTTAAGGATTTTTTTTAAAAAAATTATTTATTTGAAAGTCAGAATTACACACAGAGAGAAGGAGAATCAGAGAGAGAGAGAGAGAGGTCTTCCATCTACCGGATCACTCCCCAATTGGCCGTAACAGCTGGAGCTGCTCTGATCTGAAGCCAGGAGCCAGGAGCCAGGAGCTTCCTCCGGGTCTCCCACATGGGTGCAGGGCCCAAGCACTTGGGCCATCTTCCACTGCTTTCCCAGGCCATAGCAGAGAGCTAGCTTGGAAGTGGAGCAGACGGGACTCGAACCGGTGTCCATATGAGATGCCAACACTGCAGGCGGCAGCTTTACCCACTACACCACAGCACCAGCCCCAAGGACGTGGGTGTCTTAACTGCTACACCAAATGCCAGTTAGCTTTATTGTCCTAGCGCTGCTCCCTGGAGAGGAAAGCCTTGATCTGGAATCAGAGTGTCTTTCCAAGGGGGATTGGCAGACTGTTGAAGAGAAACTAGATTTCCGATGGCTGTAGCAGGTTTTCCACATGGGGAGGGTGGGGGAGGTTGCCTCTTGGACCAGGATGGAATCTGTGGAAGAAATGTCTTGCAGGAAAGGATGGTTTCTCCTTTAAGAGCCGGGATGCTATCTCATAGGGGTTGCTAAGTGTGATGGAAAGGAATACTCATCCCCTCCCTTCTTTTCTGAAGCAGAAATCTGCTTGAATGAAGAAACCTTCCATGCTTTCCCTCTGAAGGGAAAAGCTGTTTCGAGAAGGGCAACAATTCTGAGGAGAGGGATGCCTTTATTGGCTCTCCCTTTCTCACGCGGAGCCTGTGTATTCTAAGAGGGAGCGACAATCTCTCCTGTTGTGAAGTAGAGAAACTGAGGAGGCAAACTTGCCGTGGAAGAAGCTTTTTTTTTTTTAAAGGATTTATTTCAAAGGCAGAGTGACAGAGAGAGAAGGAGAGACAGACACACACATATAGGGAGAGAGGAGAGAAAGAGGGAGAGGGAGAGGGAGAGAGAGAAAGATCTTTCATCCACTGGGTTATTCTCCCAAATGGCTGCAACAGCCAGGTCTGGGCCAAGCTGAAGCCAGGAGCCTGGGACTCCATCCAGGTATTTCACGTGGGTGGCAGGGGGCCCAAGCATTTGGGCCCTCTTCCATTGCTCTCCCAGGCGCATTAGCAGGGAGCTGGATTGAGCAGCACTCCGATATGGGATACAGATGTTACAAGGAGCAGCCTTACACACTGAGCCACAACCCCAGCCCCTGTGGGAGGAAAATTTTGACTGGGAGAGCCCTGCTTATAAAGTGGTGGAATCCCTGTGAGGTGCAGAAGTGTCTTAAGAATCCCAGGAGCACGCAGTGGCGAAGGAGGCTTCCACATGTGCTAGGCCAGCCCTTGTTTGCTGACAAGGGAAACTGAGGCTTGGGGAAAGGGAATGTCTTCGCTTAATAGATGACAGTACGGGGACCCAAACCCAGCTTTGGCAAGTCCCAGCCCGGGGCTTTTGCTAAGGGGAAGGTGATGCTGGTAAGGAAACACTGGCTGTGCAATGTTTGACCTGTGGTGGAGGCATCTCTGGGATGACGGTCTTGATTCTGGAGGGCAGAAAATTGGGAAAGAGGATGGAATTAGAGTGGCTCTGTCCAGAGAGAAAGGCCAGAGTCCTTGTGCACCCCTCCAGGTGCATGGATGGTGGGGTACCGTTTGGCAGGTGGTGCTGCCCTTCCAGGGAGCAAAGGGGACAGCTCTCTCAGGCGCATGGGGGAGGGGCCCCTCACCCAGGCACCCAGAGAACGTGGGCCATGCTCTCAGATGTGAGAAATTTCTCTGTCATTTCCTGTTTCTCCAGAGGGAGTTGTCATTTTAATCTGTTTTCAAATCAGAGGAAGGAGGTATGTGAACTCGGTCCCAATAAAGCGGTTATGAAAAAACGACGAGAAACCAAAACCAAACTAAACCAAACCAAACCAACCAACCAACCAAACAAACAAGAAAACCCAACAAGGAGAACAACCGAAAGCAGGAAAGAATGGCTCAGGGGCTGGCTCGGCCAGGCCAGGAGTGCAGTGCTTCTGCCTTTGAAGCTTCAGCTACTCCAGCCACAGTTTCTTTCGGCCAGTTCCCTTCTTGATCAGCAAAAAGCCAAGGCCAGCTCATCCGGGGGAGGTCAGAGGTTGCAGGAGAAAGAACGTGGACAAACACACAAGCCACCTCTTCATTTACTGTAAAATCCTGTTTAATGTGTAACATTTCAGGCAGAGAGAGGCCTTGGGGACTAGAGGCAGGGGCAGCCCTGACCAACCCCCAGTCCAACTTATCTGCCTGCTTCTCCTCCCTCCCTGACTCCCTCCCCCAGGCATGTCCTCTTTTTGCTTGTGGCTGGGCCGGCAAGTGCTGTCCCTCCTCGTCTTGTGCTTGGCTACCCTCCCTTCTCCACCCACATGTCCACTGCACCCTGTCTATTTCACTTGCCCGCAACCCTCCCCACTGATGTGACTTAGCAATAGGGTATCTGACAGCATGGGGTTAAGATTAGTTTCAGAATTGGACATGCTGTCAGATCATCCCGTCCCTGGTGCCTAGTTGTCCCAGGGAGAGGGAGAAGGAGAGGGAAGAGGAAGGGATGCAGGCAGGAAGAAAGCTGCCCACATCCCCAGTAACCTTGAACGTGGGTGGGCATAGAAGTGGCCGCCAGCTCCCCAGCCGTCTAGCTCCTCAGACTGAAGGCCCTGGGAGGAAGGGAGGGAGAGAGGGAAGGAAGGTTTGGGTGGGGTAATAATCCTTAGCAGGCAGAGGTCTGTGCACGGGCAGGGGAGTTGGAGGGGGCAGGCCCAGGGCAGGGTGGGATAGGAGGTTGCCTGGTCCGTAGCATCAGCAGGCTGAGCAGCGGTCGCTCTTCTCCGCCAGCCCAGCCCCGGTACCAGGGCTGCGGCGCAGTATGTCTTTCAGGGAGCCATCCTGCTCGCTCAGCAGCTTGTTGATCTCATTCTGCTTGTACTCAGGCGAGAGGCGGTGGCCGAAGCCCGAGCCCTTGCGGGAGGGCGGATTGGAGCGGCGCTGGGCTCGGCGGGCGCAGGCCCTGATGATGAGGTACACCACCTCGGCCACGTTGAGGATGATGCAGATGCCGGAGGCAGCCAGCATAAAGACGGTGAAGACGGTTTTCTCGGTGGGCCGGGACACGAAGCAGTCCACTGTATTGGGGCAGGGGTAGGCCTCACACTTGACCAGCCGCACCATGGCATAGCCGGGGTAGAGCAGGTAAAAGACATACATGAAGACGGCCTCAAAGAGCAGCCGGAACACCACGCTGATCACATAGGTCCACCACAGTGTCCCTGAGATGTGGACCTTGTGCCTCTTGACCTCCTCCAGTTGCAGGGGGTCCACGTGGCCCTCCAGTCGCAGCATTTTCTTCTCAATGTGCTGCTGGTGAGCCACGTGCATGGCCACGAGGAGAGCCGGGGTGGAAACCAGGATGAGCTGCAGAGACCACAGGCGCACGTGGGAAATGGGGAAAAAGTGGTCGTAGCACACGCTGTTGCAGCCAGGCTGGAGGGTGTTGCAGATGAAGGAAGACTTCTCATCACCCCACACACTCTCGGCCGCCACCACCAGCACCATGATTCTGAAGATGAAAATGACCGACAGCCACACTCGGCCAATGGCGGTCGAATGCCGGTTCACGCCGCTGAGCAAAGTGTACAAACCCGTCCAGTTCATCCTGCCTCATGCACACCTGCAAGACACGAGCCAGCAGCAAGCAGTGAGAAGCTTGGCCCCGGGCAGCTGGTGGCCATTGCGCCGCCTGACCGTCCCCCTCTCCACAGGCCAGTAGCAGAAAAGGAAGGCTAGTCACAGCTTGCCTCTTCTCCCCATCTTCTTGGCTAGCCTCTCCTCCTCCTCACTCGCTGGGCTTGACCTCCCCAGGACCCATCCCCCTTCTTCACTCTCATCCAACCATTCTTCCCCCTCCAGCCCTTCGCTGCCAGGCCCATCTCATTCTGCTCTCCCTCCGGCTCACCACCCCCAGCTCCTGAACTCTGGACCTGGGATGAACCCAACCAAGCCCGTTACCTTGGGGAGCGCCTATCCCTGAGGCCACCCAGCCAGGTCCCCTATGGTCTCATGTCTGTGCAGGGGGAGTGGTCCCTGGGTCCGCGCCTGCGTCCCAATTCATCACCGCCCGGTGCTGGGGAGTCATATGCTGCTTTATACCCAGTGTCTGCACAATAGGACCTTTGTGGAGATCTGAACAACGCCCTTTAGAATTCAGATCAAACGCCATGACTTCCGCCCACCCTCCACACAGAGCACTTGTGTCCCAGCGCCGGACACCCAGCCTGCACCCACCTGTTCTGTGCCCGCCCGGTCCATCGCCGCACCCGCCCCATGGCCCCACCAGAAGAATAGTTTCAGGGGTGGGGGAGGGAGAGGGAAGATAGACAGGTGCATGTGAGAGGGGACCCCAGGCGGCCAGGAGGCTCTGGGCTGAGACCTTCTTCCATGGCCCTATCAGAAACTTGGGGTCACCAGGATATTTCCTAGGTTGAGATCCCATGGGATACGCGTGAGCTCAGAGAGGGGAAAGGGAGCTCGTATTTATCAAGCCCTCTCCAGTATACTTTTTCCTTCAACCCATTTAGAAAGCTTGTTACTCCATTTTCCAGACGCAGAAGCTGGCGCTCAGGTAAGTAAGTGCTCACTGCAGCTTGCACAGCTAGAAAGCCGAAGGGGGAGGGGGAGGCACACGAGCATCCGTGGCAGAAGCCTAGGGTCTCTCCACAGGAGCAGACTCCTTGTGCTTTTACACACGGTGTCAGCAAAAGCAAAGGCTAGCCGTGAACGAGGAAAGCAAATTCAAAAGCAAAGGCCATGTTGCCTGTAAAAGCACAAGGAGCCTGGAAGTTGCTGACTTGTGAGTACAGTCCGATCCCAGTGCCATGGAGCAAACCCTGACCGTCCCTCCCTGAGCACCAGCAGAGGGGAGCCACCCACAGGATGACCAGGTGGGCACTCGGTGAGTGGAAACCAGAAGGAGACAGCCAAAGGACAACAGGCAAACAAGGTTAGGATACAGAAGAGGTAAATCACAGCCATGAGTTCCAATCCGGCTTCTTTACCTGTAACTATGACCTTGGGCTCGTTACAGAATTCCTCTGAGCCTGCTTGCTCATCTATCAGTGGGGTTAATAGCCAAGGTCATTGTGAGATTCAATGAGGCAACCTGCAAAAGTAGCCCAAATCTGATTTCACAGTTGGTGATCAAGGGCATTCAGAACCTTCTCAGGGTGAGAAAGCATGATCTGCCCAACCCAAGAGCTCCCTCTCTCTTGCTCTCTCTCTTTTCTCCCCAAGTCCATTGTTGACCTGTAGAGTCCGTCTAGATAGAACAGATAGCTCCATGGCTGCCCTGTCTCCAATACGGAGGGCATATTATAACCTCCCGCTTTTGTGAGCTTGCCAGTTGCTCCAGGCAAGCAATTCTCTGGCTCTTAGGCAGGCAAAGAAGGCACCTCCACACACATCCCGCCTCCCATCACTTCCGCCATGAGGTTGCAAGGAGATCATGCCAGAAGCAGGGGAATGGATGTGAAGTGATCACGAAGGCCTGTGCCAGAGCAAAGGCAAGACACTTTGGCACCTGCCCTCCGCCCCCCCCCACCCCCCCACACCCCGGCTCCCGGACCACCCCCGTGCAAGCTCCACAGCAGTGCTTCTGGGTGGTTCTCTCTGAAGAAGAGGGAAGGGGTAGAGTAACAGGAACTGGCAAAGTGAAGGAAACTGAGGGAAGAAGGGACAGTCCATAGGGTGGAGAATACTTCTCTGAGCAGGGTTTCTTTATTTAGCATTAAATTAGTCAATCAAGCAAGCATGCAAGCTAGCCAGCCAGCCAGCCTTGGTGCGTTCATGTTGGGTACCCAAACCAGCATGGGGAATCTGGGACATGGGAGTCCTTTCTCCCAGTCCTGGGATGCTGGAGGCAAAGCTGCTGCAGGAGACCCTGATATCAGCTTTGGGGGCCGGCGCTGTGGCGTAGTGGGTAAAGCCACCACCTGCAGTGCCGGCATCCCGTATAGGCACCAGTTAGAGTCACGGCTGCTCCACTTCTGATCCAGCTCTCCACTATGGTCTGGGAAAGCAGTAGAAGATGGCCCAAGTCCTTGGGCACTCGTACCCGCATGGCAGACCCGGAAGAAGCTCCTGGCTCCTGGCTTCGGATGGGCGCAGCTCCGTCCTTTGTGGCCAATTGGGGAGTGAACAAGCAGATGGAGAACCTCTCTCTCTCTCTCTCTCTCTGCCTCTCCTCTCTGTGTGTAACTCTGACTTTCACATTAATAAATAAATCTTAAAAAATAAAAAATACCGGTGCCCCTCTTCCAGGCCAGCTCTCTGCTGTGGCCAGGGAGTGCAGTGGAGGATGGCCCAAGTCCTTGGGCCCTGCACCCCATGGGAGACCAGGATAAGTACCTGGCTCCTGCCATCGGATCAGCGCGGTGCACCGGCCACAGCGCGCTGGCCGCGGCGGCCACTGGAGGGTGAACCAACGGCAAAGGAAGACCTTTCTCTCTGTCTCTCTCTCTCACTGTCCACTCTGCCTGTCAAAAAAAAAAAAATTATTAAAAAAAGAACTGCTTTGGCTGGCAAGTGTGTCTACAACAGGTGGTGGAAGAGCATTTTTTTAAGATTTATTTTATTTATTTGGAAGACAGAGTTTCAGAGAGAGGTAGAGACAGAGACAGAGAAAGCGAAGTCTTCCATCCGCTGGTTCACTCCCCAGATGGCTGCAACAGCTGAAGCTGCACTGATCCGAAGCCAGGCGCCAGGAGCTTCTTCCGGGTCTCTCACATGGGTGCAGGGGCCCAAGGACTTGGGCCACCTTCTACTGCTTTCCCAGGCCACAGCAGAGAGCTGGATTGGAAGTGGAGCACCCGGGACTAGAACTGGTGCCCATATGGGATGCCGGCGCTTCAGGCAGGGCATTAAATCTGCTGTGCCATAGAGCTGCCCCTGGGGGGAGACCAAGAAAAGACAAACATTTTCCCGTCGACCCCCAGGCGCCATTGGTTTAATCTTTC